TAAATTCCATCCTTTATCAGAATTATGGTATTTTTCCGTATAATAAACAAATGAGCTACAAATAAACCATTTTTCTACAAAAAAAATGATATTTTTAGAGTCGATTTTTTTCAGCATCTAATCAGAAATGCTAATTTTTTTATTCATGTCCCTTTTCTATCACATTAATATATCTATAACAATTTGCAAAATTACTGATTATTATATAATTAATGAAATATTTAATTGATATAAAAGTTATATATTAATTTTATTATTTTAATATAGACAACAGATACATTGTCGAATTATGACTTCTATACTGTTGAAGACTTTCAATAATATATTCTATTAGAGTAAATTAATTAATTCGAGACGTAACTCGTTAAAAAATCCTTTCTGCAATCTAAATATAATTTCAATATAATTTGCATATATAAATAATTAACAGAGGCTATCAAATTATTTCTCTTTAGATATAAATTAACGACTTTGAGAAGAGCTTTAAGAGACTCGTTGAAGAGACTTGTTGACATATTCATGAGAGAAATTTCATTTGCAAACTGTTCTGTAATTAAACTGTTTCGTTGCCAAATTCAAATGCAATATGAAGAGGCATACGTACTTGCAGAGAATAGAAAACAAGCGGCAATAGCGCCTAGGACAAATATTTCACAAATGTAAGCGACGTAAATAATGACTTCTTCGTCTTAACGCTATCGCACCTTATCGAAAGTTTTATGTGCACGCGCATATATTTTGATAAGGCACGAAAATATCTTTTCTATTATCCGATAAGAATAATAGGAGCGACACAGACCAACATAAACTGTCGGTAAATTTTTATAGAAAAATAGATTAGCGCATAAAACTATGCATGAAGAGATTCGGATGTTATTCGAGATTCGGATTACGTGAATTGTAATCCAAACGCACATAAGATTTAAGTCATTTTTATACAAAAGTATTTACTTATACTCGATGTATTTGCTACCTGCATAAATGACGAAATTACGCTGATATATTGGAAAATAAAGAAATTATAATGTCAAAATAATAAAACAATAACAAGAAATATAATAAAAAATTTTTGTTTGTTATTGATTTTGTTTTTTCGATGAATTCCACGATGAATATATTTAGAGCGGAAATTAGCGATTATTAAAATAAATCTACCAGTTAGTGGACATAAATCAATTATTGAAAAAAGTATAAAATATTAAAAGATAAAATGTTTCAAATATTAAACTTTTAATATGTACGATTTTATGTAAATTTATCATTAAATTTTTATAAACAAATTTATTTAGAGTTGTACATATAATTAAAGTTTAATATTTAATATTATTTAATATTTTGTATCACTTTTTCCAATGAATTGGGTCACGTTTACTAATTATCCATTAACTAGTACATTTATATACCTTAACTAGTGAAAATATATGCAATAAATACTATAATGTAGTAAATATTATCTCCTTAACTCTTTGAAGCATATATTTTTGTAGTAATTACGAAAATGGAATCAGATTAAAAAAATTTTTTTTAATTCAAAATGATCCAACTTAGCGTATTGAAAATGCAAAAATTGATCTAGTCAATAACATAGGTATTCAGGATTTTTAGGCTGATAACGAAGGTGAAGTAAAAATTGAAGGATTAAAAATATCGAATTTAATATGGTGAATCTAAATACGAAAATTTAATTAATTTGTAAAAAACCAAAACAACAGTCCACGATTTTGAATTTGAATTGGTAATTTTTGGCTTTAGATTCGAAATTAACAATCTTAAAGATCTATGAAAACATTCATATATATAAATTAGTATATAATTAATATATATAAATTATAATTAATATATATAAATATATATAAATAATATATATAAATTAGTCTATTTTCTTGCAATGTCGGTTCGTCATATTGAATCCGCAACTTTGAATTTTTAACGTGTAATTTGATATTTGGGAATTTCAGAGTTCACTGATTCCAAATATATAACTTAGTATATACCTAGTTAAGTATATCCGTCGTGTTAAATTTTGCGAAAACCGTGCACTGAAATAACACGATATACATCGGAAATAACGATAGTGTTTATAGTATCTTTGATATACTGGCGTGTGTCATACATTAAAGTTTAGAGAGATGACGAGATGACAGAGAAATAAAATTTGTAATGACCACTGACGATAGTGGAATATATATAGTATATGACAATCAGTGCGAGAGTTTTTAATATTAATAAGATAATACTATCTTGGGCAGACTAAATATGATAGACGATCTTATGAAAAGAGCTGATAAAAGATTCGGTAACTTAAGAATAGATATCTTATAAAAATCTAAAAAGTGTACAATACTTCTAAATCGTTTGTCCTTCACTTTATATTATATAGCAATCGCATTAATCATAATAGCATCGAATTGTTCTGAAAATAATGGCCTGTCAATGTAACGATAAAAATTACATTTATGGAAAAATAATCACGGAAAAAAGCGTAAGCTTTTCAAATAATATAGTATAACTGAATAAAGAATCGATTTTTTTTTATATTTTTTTCGTGAACATTCAATTGCACAAAGCGATTGAAAAGCAAAACACACACATATACACACACACACACACACATACACACACACAAGTTTAGTATTATTTTTCAAATCTATAATTCAATAATATAGCAATCAACATTGTAGTATATATTTTTATACAGATTATGAAGAATTTTAAATGTAAAATAAATAAGCTGATTTATGCATTTTAATCACTTTGCAACTGAATATTTATAAAGAAATTATAACTGTCAGTTCCTAAGAATAACTCCCGATTTACGAGGAACACTTTTTTTTCGTACACAACACGATCGTCGGACGTGAGAATTTTTTTCTTTTGATTTTTATTTCGCGAATTGCGTGATGTAAATCGGAAAGAATATTATTTACCATTCATTGTAAGTCGTCTTCGTAAACGACCAAACGCGCTTATCGACATAAGTTGGAAAATGATCGTATTACACGTAACGCATAAACGGTCAGAAATAGAAATAATGTATTATCAGCAAATACATCGGGTTATCGCATTCCTTCATTCTCGAGGACGCTTCTTGACCATAAGCTGCGCGCTATATTTCCATCGATACAGCACATCATTCGCGCTTGCATATAAAAGACCTTTAAGTGACGTATCAAATTACAAATTCCGCAAATGTATCGCGTGACATTACTTTTATCAGCAGATAATCTTTGTTATTCAGCGATTTGTATTCGATAATAATAATAATAATAATAATAATAATAATAATAATAATAATAATAATAATAATAATAATAATAAACTTTATTCATGTGCAA